GCGCCGCCGCGACGCGCCCCCCGTCCCCCTCCCCGCACGCCTGCCCCCGCCCTCGCACGCCTACGCGCCCGCCGCGCCACACTCCCCGCACGCGCGCGCATACACGTCCCCGCAAAGCCCGCTCCCCGCGACGCGCCCCCTCCCGTCGCTGCACGCGCCCGCCCCGCACTCCCCCAAGCACGAGGCCCGCGACGCGTACGCGCTCGCGCTCGCAGGCGCGCGCAGCCCCGCGCGCTCCTACGCCCACCCCGCGCACGTCCTCGCCGCCGCAGAGCACCCCTGCCCCTGGGAGCTGCAGTGCCCGCCGAGCCCCGCGTCCTTCGCGTCCTCCTTCGCGTCCCTCGCGTCCTCGTCGGCGTCCTCGTCCTCGTCCCTCTCCTCCTACCCCTCGCCGGCCTTCCCGCTCGCCGACGCAGACCCCAGCGCGCGCTGGCCGGGCCTCCCCGACTATGCCCCGCCGTCCTTCGCACAGCAGCAGCACGCCCCGTACACCGGCGCGCTCGCCGCGCCCCCCTACGCGCCGCACGCACACTCCCCGCAGATCCACGCCCCCCGCCCGCTCAAGCGCTCGCCGCTCGTGCTCGCGCCGGCGCTCGCGGACGCCGGTGCGCCCGCGCACGGCTACCCGCCGCCGCACCCCCAGGCGCTGCACGACGCGTGCGGCGCGCACGAGTACGCGCACGCGTACGGCAGTGCGGACGTGGACATGCTCGCCGACGCGCACTACGCGTACCCCGCCGTCGACGCGCACTACGCGCCCCTGTACGCGCCCCCGTACGACTACGCGTACGCGGACATCGACATCGACATCGACGGCGGCATGGCGTGCGGCCTCGTCGCCGCCGAGCCCCGCGCACGCCCATGCGCCTCGCAGCCCGAGTACGTCCCCCGCAGCCCCGCGCCGCACCGTCCCCCCGTGCTGATGCCGATGCCCCCGCCGCGCAGCCCGTACTACCCGCACGCGTACGCGTACGACGCGCCCGTGCCCATGGTGCTCTGCGAGAGCGGGCAGGCGCCGTATGCGGGCGTGTTCCTCGACGCGCACGAGCACGCGGGCATGGGCGCGGGCGCGGGCGTCGGGATCGTGCCCGCGGCGACGTATGCGGCGTACTAGCCGCCGCCGCCGCCGCCGCCGCCGGGTGCCCAAAGCACTCAGGCTCAGACTCAGACACGGCCGCCACGCATGCGCGCACCACATACGAGAGAGTATTGTATCGCGCGCCGTACGGCCGCGCGCCCTGTACTGTACCCCACCGCGCGCGCCGCCCTCGCCGCCGCGTGCGCGTGTACGTCTATCGCATAGCGGCCTGCTCCCTCCGCACCCACGCCCGCACCCGCACCCGCATTTTTTTACGCTTACATTTGTGCTAGTTGTCCTCGGTCCCTGCCTCTCTCTGTCCCGGTCTCAGTCTCAGTCCCGGTTTCGGTCTCGGTCTCACGGATTCTTTCTTCTTTCGCACTCGGATGTGGATATGGATTTGCATTAAGATTTTCATGGAGGTTGGAATGGAATGGCATGTGCATTTACTATTACTGTTGAGTCCAGGAACGAGCGCGTCCCGTGCCCTGCGTGCCATCCGCCACCATCGCCCAAGCCTTGACTAGACCGCGCTGCACACTCACGCGGGCACAGCACCACCCTCGCGCGCGTCAAGATCACATCGCGACTCATCCTCCAGGGCGGGGAGCGCCCCCTCCCCTCCGGCCGGCCTCGTTGAATCAATATCCGTGATAAGTGGTGCTATTGCTGTGATTCCGGCAGCGTGGGGCTCTACTTGCCCAATAAGTGGTACTAGCCCTCGCCCTGCTAAAATGCACGCTCTAACGTGCGGATGCACTAGCACTAGCACTAGTACTGGTGGCAAGAGCAGCGCGATTCCGGTGCCCGCATCCTGCGCCGCGCACCCCGGCCTGGCGCAGCACGTCCGCGGCTCGTTCGATAGCGCTATCATGTCCAGACGCGCAAATCCAGCAGTATACGAACATGAGCCCGAGCGTCCAGCTAAAATGGCACCGTCAATGCGGGCCGTGCGCGCATAAACATTCCGCTGATGGGGACGCAGGACCCCCGCCCTGTGCGCCCCTTAATTCCGCACGTCACGCGGGCCGCGCCCTCTCTGCCTGCCTGTAGTCTACCTGTAGTCCGCCTGTCTGTCCGGCGACCCCGAACCCTCCCATCGATGCAGGAACACACACAGCACCCCAAATCCCGCTGCCAAACCGCACCGCCTCTCCTGCCACCCTGGGCCTAGCAGGCAGGCGCATATTCGGCGTGCGCACTACCGAGTGCACACGCCCATATGTGCTCCCAAGTCTGCGGGGGCCCCGGGCTGCGGGCGCGACGCCCGCGTCAACGTTCACGCACGCCAGAGCTGTAATAATACATAAACCGGAACCTAAAACCGCGCCCGAACCCGAACCCGAAACCAAAACTGAAACCAAGAACCGAGACGTGCACCCGCGCGCATCAGCCTTCACGCAAGCGAGCTCGACGATGACTTGCAAAATTAAACATCATGCACGCCCCCGCCGCGGAAGCATCGCCTGTGCATCTTCTCCGTGTCCTCTCCATCTCCTCCCGCACGTACGTATCGTCGCCGATCGCTTAGCCGATGCGTCCAGTGGGCAAGCGGAGCGGAAATCCGTCCAGCGAACTCGCAGCCGTAAACGGGAAGCTAGTATGGCGCCGCCGTGTGGGGCGTACGACATATGGCGCTTCTTCTCGTGGCCAAGAGCCACGCATCATCGTCCCGACCTGGGCAGAGCAGAGTCTCAACCGCCTTAGTTAGAGAAAAGGGCAAAGACGACGCGACGGCTCGCGACAGCGCGAGCTAGTTTCCTGGCAATGCACATTGCAAACCGACTCGCTCGGGCATACCAGCAGGGCCTCGGAACACCCGCCCGCATCGCGTCGTGCATGTTCGGATACATCACCGACATTCCTCGCACCTTGGTACTCCGAAACGAGCCCGCTAAACGGGCGATCCTAATTCGCGAATCGTTAGCAGCATGGCCGATGCAGCTCGGGACGCGAGATCCGCACACGGACGTCATCTCGAGCGCGCTACCAGCAACGAGGGAAGGGGGTTGGTCCACGCATCCGACGTCGACCATATTTGCGTTTAACATTCAGATGTCCCTGCTTCTCGTGGGCGCAGATGCAGATGCAGCTACAGATGCATCCAACCCGCGCTGAAGGTGACTGTGTGATGCGCGCGCGAGATTCCAGATTCAAAGATCCGCGACGAAGCACCATCATCACTCTGACCTGTGATTATCGCTGGCCACGAGGCTTCCGTGCGTGCGACAAACACTCGTAGCGAACGACGTGCACGGTCCGCATCTCCTCCCGAGCGAAAGGCCACTGCGACGGCCCAGCGGTGCGCGCCATGGGCACATCACAATCACTACAGCAGCACGTCTGAATCATGTCATGGCGCGCTGGTATGACCGCGTCTCAAATTAGCACGCTGCAGCCCCGCAGCGCTGGACTCTGGCGCCGGCGATATCGCTACCTCGTCGACGTTGAACCGATGTCCGCGTCATATATCCCTGCGCTAGTGCCGATCGCCATCGACAATTTGACGGTTTGGATAGGCCGTCCCCCGGGCGACGAATATGAAACGGGGACCGCGGTCTGGCCCGGCACCGACGCAGGGGAGGCTGTTGATCGTTCGTTTATAGGTAGTCCCCAGCCGGCCGGCGACGCCGCGCGCCGGGTTGGCAGCGCGAGCGGCGGCGGTGAGAGCCCTCCAACGCGCTGCGACTGTATTTAATGAGTGATGGGCCGTCTCCTGCTTTTGATCCCTGCACGAGTGAGGGCGGGCGTTCTGCGTGAGGGCGGGGGCAACGAGAGCACGCAAGGTACACGACACACAAGGGAATTGAGAGAGCAGTGAGTGGTGAGTCATGGATAGCATGTGAGAGACAGGCTGCAGATGTACAGGGTGCGTGGATGTATGTGTATGCAATATGCCATTTTGGGGCGGTCCCGAGCAGGTTGCGAGAGGCAGCGTCGACAGTGGTAGATACTCCAGAAATTGGAGAAGGCAGACCTAGACAATAATATTCAAAAAGTTCAGAGTGCAGAGAGAATTGCGCACGACGCACATGCAGTGAGCACCAAGACAGCGCTTGCTACCGGGACGATGTACCGTCGTCGAGCAGGGGAGGGGGTTCGCTCAGAGGGTTTTCTTGTCGCGCCTGCTCGAGCAGGCTGTCAAGGCCCTTCTCCTTCACGGCTCCCTTTGCATGTGGGTCAGCATTTCCGGCAGCAGCAGACGAGGCTGGCACGAGAGCGGCGGGGGAAGTGCAAGCGAAGGCGGTGGCGGGCGGCGTACCTGCACGCACTCGCGATACTGCGCCCAGACCTTGCCGCAGCTGCGCTCGTACTCGGCGGCCTTTTCCTGGGCAAAGGTGGTGCGCCTGGCGGGGTCCGCAGAGGCAGAGGCGGAGACGGCGGGCTCGAGGTAGCCCTCGAACCAGGCGTTGAAGCAGGCGTCGTATTCGCGCTTGAGGGGGGTACATGCTTCGGATACACTGTGCGCCATGCCGGGCAAGGAGCGTACGCAGAGCTATGCAGACGTGCCGTACAAAGAACGCAGCCTGGAAAATGCGTGTACGCCGACTATGCAGATGTCCTTCCCGTATCGTATGTTGTACAAGTCTTCGAGGCCAGAGACGGAAGCTGTGTGTACGATGTCGAACAAGAGAGACCATGCCCATGTTGTTTACCGCTCAGCCAACGCGTCTCTACTTGGGACCACCACTACCGCCTGCTCATCATGGTCCTCGTTCTCGTCATTGGCGACCTGCACATCCCCCACAGAGTCCACGACCTCCCCACAAAGTTCAAGAAGCTCCTCGTCCCGGGCAAAATCCAGCAGATCCTCTGCACCGGCAATGTCTGCGACCGCGAGACCTACGAGTACCTCCGCACCGTCTCCCCCGACGTCAACGTCGCCCGAGGCGACTACGACGAGGTCCGTCTCGTCTCCGTCTCGGTCCCCGCAGCGACCGTCGCGTGCTGACTCGGTGCCCCAGACGTCCTTCCCGCTGTCCATCACCGTGACGCACGCGCCCATCAAGATCGGGGTCATCCACGGGCACCAGTGCATCCCAACAGGCGACCTCGACTCGCTCAGCGCCATCGCGCGCCAGCTCGACGTCGACGTGCTCGTTTCGGGCCATACACACACGTGCGTGCGTCCCCCCGCTTGAGGTCGTCCCGCGGCAGCTGAAGTCACCCCGGATGGCACCTCGCCGCTCCCGCCACCTGAACAGCTTCCAAGCAGTCGAGTACGACGGCCGCTTTTTTGTGAACCCTGGCTCGGCAAGCGGTGCATGGGTGGGCACCGTTAGCGGGTGCGTGCACTCTCTTCCCCTCATCCGCGCTTCGCCTCCCGCCTCCCCGCCCACACGTCGCGTTCTCCGCTAACAGACGTTCTCTCGCAGTGACCCCACCCCTTCCTTCGCGCTAATGGACATCCAGGGCCCCGTTGTGGTCACGTATGTATACCAGCTGATCGAGGGCGAGGTGCGCGTCGAGAAGATCGAGTACCGCAAAGACCTCGAGGCCATTAAGGACGTGCCGCGCAGTACAGTGATGCCGCAGAACATCCCCACCAGTCCGGCGGCATCGCAAGCGCAGGGCGTTTGGTAAAGCTAGGGGATCGTGCTATGGAGGATGGGCGCCTGGCCTGGAGGGACTTGGGCTTGTGCTTACAGCAACGTGTGGTGAGGTACATTGTACATTATGTGGTGCGTCGTTTCGGTGTCGTGGTCCTTTTTCGAGGGGCTGAGCGGTTGCATACGGGCAGCTTTTGGATGTGTAATCTTATATTGTCGCAGTCTACTAAAGAAGCGGTTAAACGTCGTGCAGCCATCCATTGATTCCCGCGCGTCGACGACGTTAAATCACGAGGCCCCTCAGGATGGGTCTGATATTTCCCGCGTCCAAGGACGAGCTGCAAGCCATGCTACCACTCAATTTCATCGCTTTTGCTGTATTATACATCATCTACATGATTTTCAGACGCTGACTATCAGATCCTCTGGTATATACACTACAATGACCCGGCAGTTCCACAACCCTAGCGCAAGATAGTTGCGCCATATAGCATACGACCGAGCTTCGAACTCCTTCGGAAGCATCCAGACTTCTTTGCCTTCGCGAGACGATAGAATCCCAGTCTCGATATCGAATTGGAGATCGAGTGACAGGTCCTCGAAGATCTTATGGTCTTCGTCCTCGACGTTCTCGTCGATTCGCAGGCTTACGCGCGAGTTGTCCGCGGCCGCGTTGAGTTGAGACGTGTGATCCAAGTAGGACGGGACGATTTCGCTGTCTTTGTTAGCAAGTAGCTGCACTGGCTCGCCGGACGACGAAAGAAGCGTAGAACCAGTTGAGTCGGGTCTGGCACCAACATCATACGGGCTCATCTTCATTTCCCGTCCCGAACCCGCATCCCAGACTTTCGTTTGCTGAGGGTCCTCGTGTCGCCACGAGACTACGCGAAGTCCGCTCGAGAAAAACGACACTTTGTGCGGAGGGCGGTGGTGCCGGGAAAGTCTCCAGTCATATGTGCTTCTCTTTTGCAGATCCCAGATATGTATCGGGTCGCGAAATGCCGCGGATACCAAGTGAGGATTCTCCTTGTCGCATGAGAATGCCGCGGCCGCAGCTGGATTAAAGTGACCTATTATGTCCGACCCAAGTGGTTCGCCTGTTGCGACATCGAGTATTCGGAGTGTGCCATCCGCGAGGCATGTCGCTAGCTTCGTGCCGTCCGAGGAAAACGCCAACGGCTCGAACCCATCGGCCGGCAAAATGCCGGGCACAGTGCACGTTCGCGAGGGGAGCCCCTTGTCTAAATCCCACATAATGATGGAACCGTCCTCCGCGCTGGAGAGAAGAATATTGCTGCTGATGAACTTCACTACCGTGACTTCGCGGGTATGCGCGCCAAGTTTGTTGTGAAGGTTGCCAGTCTTCCTGTCCCATAAGTACACCATACCATCTCCGGATCCCGATGCGAACCAAGAGTCGTCTGGAGAGAAGTCAATGGAATGGAACATGCGCAAGGCCGCTTTACGACCCTGGAGTCTCGCACTCTGCAGGGGAGCGTACGGCATAGTGCGGGTTTGAAGGTCTACAAGCCAGAGACTGCCATCTTCCGAACCCAGCACGACCCACAACCCGTCGTGAGAGAATGCAGCACGGGTGAATCTGGCGTAGCTATACGTCGGCGATTGACGTTGCGTTAACTCGTCGTAATACTTCACGGTCGGTTGGATATCGAAGTGAGTATTCGAATTCTTCATATCTCTGCGATAGGATGGACCAACATGCAGGCCTTGAGTCGACTCGGACGTAGGGGTCGTAGGGGTCTCCTTGGCATCGAACGGTACCCATAAATCAGCGACACTGTGCGCAGTCGGTACTCCATCCAGTTTGTACATATGGTATTCGGAGAGAAGGTATCCGGTCTTGGTATCCACCTTGTATATGGTTCCCTTCGCCGATGCTGCCCACGCTTGTGTGCCATCTAGAGAGAAAGTAGCGAAGCTGCGCTCATCTAATGGGTGGGTGGGGATCGCTTCGGTACCCGCTTCAACATCCCACACACGCAGACATAAGGGGCATCCGGGGACGCTACATGATACCCGCTGGAAACGATTTTCCTTCCGTCTGGAGAGAAGGCCAGAGAGTCGACATCCCTGTCCTTTTTGAACAGACGCAATGCCGGTGACCACTGTGGTACGTAGCCCCCCATGATTGTCGGGGCATCCGAATGATGGAACAGTTTGAAGAGTCTACTTTCTGTGGGTGCAAATGGGATTGCGGAACGCCGAAGATGAGGGGGGCCTGTTGCGATAGTTTCCGCGAAGAAGTAGCTGAAACGAACACCATCATAAACTAGACTGCGCAAATCACCATTTGCAGATGAGGTCTTCTGAAGAGAAGCTCATGAGCACAACGTTCACATCATCTTGGATGGACCCGGAACGGACTCGCCTCAACCCATACGGAGAGTTGTTCAAGTAGCCTAGAGATGCTTCTGGCTTTCCCCAAATCACACATGGCCTCTAGCCAGTTGATCAGATACGCTTCCAGCCAGTCTTGCAGACCTCGTGCGAATTCGGTAGGACACACTGCTATGCCACAGGTGTGGAGTATCCATTGAGTGCATGCGTATATGTTTGCATGGGACCCTGGGGACGTAAACGTCTGCGATAGACGGGTAGAAGACTGGAAGGATGCTCGGAGGACATCCATACAGCGGCTCGCAAGACGTCGATCGTGCTCATTCACGTCGATGAACCAGCGTGATTCACGACGATCTGGGCTAGAGATGAAGTCACGGAATGATAGATGGAGTAAGTGCACTGGCTCGTGGTCGTCGGAATACTGAAGCAGATTTCGCAGGGGCCGAAGGACTTTGCTCGCCCTTCGTGGCCCCCCCAGGAGTTGATCAATCACGGTGACAGAGATTGGCTCCTTCGCCGCCAGAATGACGCCCAACACGGTGTTGTAGGCCGTAGGATAGTCTCTTAACCAATAGCGGTCGAGGGACGAATGAAGCGCCTTATCGTACAGATCGTCAAGCGTCTGGCTGTCGTCCTGTTGCGCACTCTCCCTCCCAAGCAGTGATTCAAGGACATCATCCGGCTCCAAAAACGGGTACTCAGCACATTCTATCGTGTCGCATGCTGTCTGCGCCCAGCTAAAGAGACCATCAGCGCGTTCCACGAACCTCTTGAGTCTGTCCTCTCCCGGCCAATCCTTGTCGAGTTTGTGCGAGCGAGCAGTCTGAGACAACCTGTCCCGCATGAAGATAGCGATATCTGAATCGTCATCTCTGGAGACTACCAGATCACGTATTAAGAAAGTCGACGAGAGTCGAAGGAGTGCAAATTCGAAATCGTCGATATGGCGGCTCGTGATGATTATACGGATGCAAGGTGGGAGCTGTCCCGGGGTCGCCATCTGTGCCAAGATATCCAGAAGCGGTTTGCGTGAGTATCTTGAGCGACTCGGCGGCTTTTCAGAGCCGCATTCATCAAGGCCATCAATCAGAATTACAATAGGACCCTCGTCGACGAGACCGATGGAGGACATCAAAGGCTGTCGGAGGTAGACATGATATTGAGCATCAAGCTGCATGTTGGGAGGGCTTCTCTCGACAGCCTTTGCTACCTCCTTGTGGATGCGCTGATCAAATTGGCTGAGCTGGAATGCAAGGGTCCTGATAACCCTGAACGGGTCGTTGTTTGCTTCAGCGGCTAGTTCTCGATCGAAGCAGATGAATGCACCGCGGCGACCCTGCTCTCGGAACAGCGTCTCGAGACTATTTGCAATGGCACTCTTCCCCGAGCCTGCAACGCCACGCAGCCATAAGATATTCGAGGGTTCCGCAGATTGGTTGTAAGCCCAAGTGGTGATAGAGCTGATGATATTGTGACGCGTATTAGGGTGACAGGGCTTCTGGCGTGGCGTCGTTTCGATGGGGTCAAGGCTTTGCTTCAGAACTGGCGATCCAGATATCAGATACTGAGTAGAACAAGCCAATCGATGCTTACCTAGTCGATCCAGCTTCAACTCCTGGCGGAAGGTGGTCATGGTTACCTGCGTGGCGAGACCAGTGTCCAATTGGCTCGCCAGTTTGGCGAATGTGGTACGAAAGGCCTCTATCCGTTTGTCGATGTCTATAAATTGTGCTCGGGTAGCGTTTCCTGAAAGACGTAAGTGACATGCTTGCGCCTTGTGCTGTGAGGCGACATACCTGCAAACGTGTGTGCACTGTATCGCTCGATGTAAATCAGGCATTCCACTGTTTGCAGCAATATTGACTTCATGGTAAGCTCGAGCCGGTTGAGAAGGCCAAAGTCGTTCTTCAGCGCTTCGAGCGACGAAACAAAAGAGTGCAGGGCTGACATTGAATCTACGAGCGACAAGACTGCAAGATCACGATCAAGCTGGTCCTTCACGATCTTTAAAGAAAAGGTGTCAGTAGCTTCGGAGAGTTAGCGTACATGCCAATTCATACGTTATACACCGAGGTAGCCAATTTGATCGCCATACTCAGGTATGGATGGAGCTGCGGAGCGCATTGTGTCAGTAGAATATTTCTGCTAAGAGTAGAGTCAAGATTACTTGTGCAACGGCGTCCAGTATACGTCTGGAATTTTCCAAATAGTCCACGAGTACTTTCAGGTGTTGAGACACAGTTGAACCCGATCCAGGCAGGGGTGGGTGAATGGCTTCCTCCATTTCCCGCCGTGTTTGCTGGAGACTAGAGTCGATTCCTTCTGCCAAGCTTTCTTCCTTGATTGAAATGGCTATGAGCGCCTTCGAGGTGCCTCCGGTAAGCGGCAGTGTGAACCCTGATGATAATCATGAGACATGCGCGAACGTTGACCTTGCAACAAAATCACCTCCGATCTCCGGCTGTAAGTTCAGTAACTCTTCGACAGTGCGATTAGCTGACCCCAAGCGGCAGCGCGTGAGTGGGGGTACGAGACCATTGTCACAGAGAACAAATGATAGGATCGTGTCGTACTGCACACCAACGCTGTCAAACGTGGTCAGTTTATGCTGTGCCACGATAGTATAACGCACATTTTGAACTCCTTGTTCCAAAGCGGCATATCGGTATCCGTGGCTGTGGTTTCATACACGCGATCCTTGTTGACGTGAATTCTGACGCAAGAGCGGGGTTTCCTCTTTACGGCGCTTTTGATCGAAAATCCCGATGCGTTGATCACTGGCAGAAGGTTATGAGAATAAGAATAAGCACGGCTCCAAGACGTACCCTTGAGGACGACACTACACTTGTCCATATTGTTATGCGATTTGACCTCTGGCGGGCTTGACTGATACATAGTGACTCGAAAGTTGGATCGTCAATTCAGTCATCCAGGGATCTTGTATCGGTGAGGGATGGCGCGCAACTAAGGCAAGTCCGACGCTTCCATGCCGCAGAATTGAATGAATCAGTGAAATGCCCTCACAATTTCATGAGTTCACGACCAATCAGGTCTTCTATTAGTTGCATGTTACGTTTCCTTCAGCCACAAAGAGCAAAGAGTATACCACGTTCGAGGTCCGTTCCGAGACATGTTGAAATAAGGTTACGGTCAAACCTATCGATACGTTCCTACCGTGGCCTTCTCGGCCATCTTGACTGTGACACTAACCACCTTCCCAGCGGTGCCATTAACGCTGTCTCGAGCCTCCCTGCGTACCGAACTTACGCTGGGTCATGTGCGCGCATACTGACCTATCTCAGCGTGCGAGGGAGCTGGCTCCTCATTTAGCTGTAGTCTGTTTGTCGGACGGGTCATTCAAAACGACATCTGAGCATGAGAGCTGGAAGACATAATTGGGGCGTTATAAATCTGTGATCGTCTGCTAGCCAAAGCAGGAACAATCTAAGGAACGGTAGTATCGCGATGGGTTCGACGGACCCGTGAAACGTGCGGGTTTGCAGTTGATGGACCACAATAGATGACAGCGGATTGCATACTGTGCCTCCCCGGGTAGTCGGCAGGCCCCCCAAGTCGGCAGTCACGTAAAAGTAACACATCCATCACGATCCATCACGCGTGATATTTTAAGGTCTGCTTAGCCAACGCTTGAGGATTCTATGGGCAGGTAGCTCGAAGCATACAATGAGGTCGCTGACGTGATCGGAAAATGAAACTCCGACACGAGCTGTTACAACCGAGGCGTACACCAGCGTGACAACGGCTTGAGCTGGTCCTCAGGGAGGGACTCCAGAACGACTGCACCGTTCGCTTTCGTTCAAGCTGGAAATGAAAGCAGGCATACGAAAACCTATGTCTACACAAAAGCACAAAGGTAATGGAGTACTGTGGAGGGAGATACCATGAAATTGCCGACTTGGGGGGTCTGCCGACTACCCGGGGAGCAGTGGTGTGCGGTCAATGACCGTGGTCAATGGTCATAGTCATTGATCGTTGACTTGCCATTGACCGTCAATGACCCTGGGACAGTCATGACTCCGAGGTAAGCCCGGGGTCCTCGGGCACAGTGGTGGTCGAGGTCACACTTCCTTTTGTGGTATTGTCGGAAGATCGTTATGCTGCATGCCCGGTGCCCATGCCTCATGATACTTAAGCTTTCATTTAGTACAGGCAGTGAGCTCATGGATCTCATATTCTGTCTGCCTCGCACAATGCTCATGTGCCAAGAAATGTCGCCCCTAGCCTAGCTACCTTGTGTATTTATAGTTGTTTCAATGAATCTATACACCACATTTGCCTTAATCCCCCCTTGCTGCCCCAATGTTGCGCTCCTCAGCGAATCGCAAATGGTATCGCACATTCTTTTATGACCACCCATTACTATAGCAGAAAGACCCCACTGCATATAATAACAACAATGTCGCCGACAAGGCAAAGGTATGGTGCAAACTGTGCTATGCTATGCTATTCGAGTAGAAGAAGAGAAAAGGCTCGACGCACAGCAGGTTTGTTGGAACAACGGTGCGAACGGCGCGGGGCGCGTTTGTCCACGGGTGTAGCGATGCCCGTAAGGGACAATCGCGTTGATACGACCTACGAAACCCTAACCCCTAACCTGGGTGCGACCTAAAGGGACTAGAGAGACGGATTATAGTCTAGTGAGAGGGGAGTTAGCAGCAAGGTGTCCCGCGGTTCGAGTGAACACGAGAAACGCCTTCGGAAAAGGCTACGAACAATGGGGAAGCTACGAGGTGGCTTCGACACGTCGTCGAAGCTCCTCGGAGGCTGTGGATGGTTAGTGGAGACGATCGAAGCTCGGGAGAGCTCTTCGAAGAATCGTAGAAGAAAGAGACAATTCGATAGGGGGGACTTAGCTAGGACGCGGTTCGCAGTTTCTTCGACAATAGTCGAAGTCGAAGGGTTCGTCGAGACGGTATCGACGAGTAAACGCAGTGGACGAGGTTTCGAGGTTACGCAGCGAGGGACGAAGTGACGCAGTTAGAGGCTTAGACGCAGGGCGAACTCGACTTATGAGCTCTGAACTCGAGGGGGGAACCGGATCTTGTATTTTTAGAGAGAAGTACGACAGGTTTTATACTACACAGGACGCTACGACTATT